CGTCTGCACGGTTTGCACCACAACTATACTGGTGTTACACCAGTATGTGTGTATACTGGCGATCAGTAATTTTGTCTACTCCACTGCTATCTCCAAACGACACGAAAGATACTCCCGCGGTGTTGGCATTTTATCTCGTCACTCGGCTCGGCTGCTACTAGTAACTTGCAGTGCGCACACTCCAAAAATCCCATCACTGCCCATCACTGCTCCAACAAAGTTGTGCCAAAGTTGTCAACAGAGTACCGAACGGTATATGAACGGTACTGTGCAATCATTTTTACGATAAAAGTATTTTAAGTAATTGCAAAATGTCAGATGGAGAAGATGATTTTATGTGTGAAGAAGAGGAAGACTATGGTCTTGTAAGTATTCCTATCATGAAATAAATGTTGCCAAAGAAGCATCTTAAACCAGTTTGGCTCTACATTTTAACTAAGTGAGATTTAAAAATAGTTCCTGATCTATTTCTTAATAGTTATACAAGAATTCATATTGATAAAGCATTTTCTAATAGTAATTATAACAATAGTAATAACAGTAGTAATGTAATAATGTGTATTGACAGTTTATGATAATTTACATTTAGCAATGTAGGTTAGGCTGATGTTTTGTTATAAACCTTTTAGGAATATTCTGAGGATTCAAACTCAGAGCCTGATGTTGACTTAGAAAATCAATATTACAATAGTAAAGCCTTGAAGGAAGATGATCCAAAGGCAGCACTACAAAGTTTTCAAAAGGTTTTAGATTTGGAAGGAGGAGAAAAGGGTGAATGGGGCTTTAAAGCTTTGAAACAAATGATAAAAATCAATTTTAAATTGGTACGTCTTTAAGTTAATGCTCATGTATAGCACATATAACATACATTACGTTGTTTCTACTTTTAGGGCAATTATAAAGAAATGATGACTAGATATAAACAATTATTAACATATATTAAAAGTGCAGTTACAAGAAATCATTCAGAAAAATCTATTAATTCCATATTAGATTATATCAGTACCTCAAAAAACGTGAGTAGTACTATGGCATAAATAATAAATAGTTCAGCTTAGTTTTCAATTATATTTATTATCTTTCTCATTCTTTTCCACTTCATAGATGGAATTATTACAAGATTTTTATGAAACTACCTTAGATGCATTGAAAGATGCTAAAAACGATAGACTATGGTTTAAAACTAACACAAAGTTGGGAAAATTATACTTTGATCGTTCTGATTTCAATAAATTAGCAAAAATACTAAAGCAACTTCATCAAAGTTGTCAGGTGAGCTTTGTTTAATTCATCAGTTATCAGTATATTAGCATATTAGAATATAAACATGAGTAATATCTGATTAGACTGATGATGGGGAAGATGACTTGAAGAAAGGAACGCAACTCTTGGAGATATATGCATTAGAAATACAAATGTATACTGCACAGAAAAATAATAAAAAATTAAAGACTTTATATGAACAAAGCTTACACATTAAAAGTGCTATACCACATCCATTAATAATGGGAGTCATTAGAGGTACAGTACAGTAGAGCTTATAATACTACTATGTAAACTGTCTGAGTATATTTTTAATGACTTTCTTCTTGATTTAGAATGTGGTGGGAAAATGCATTTGAGAGAAGGAGAATTTGAAAGAGCACACACTGATTTCTTTGAGGCTTTTAAAAATTATGATGAATCTGGTTCACCGAGGCGTACCACGTGCTTGAAATATTTAGTCTTAGCAAACATGTACGTAAACATTACTTAAGTAAACATTTAAAACAACGTGTGCGATGGAAATACCGAAATCTTTTGTTAATATTGAAACGATATATAAACATAGGCTGATGAAATCTGGTATCAATCCATTTGATTCTCAAGAGGCAAAGCCATATAAAAATGATCCAGAGATCTTAGCCATGACGAACTTAGTGGTCAGCTATCAAAATAACGATATTAATCAATTCGAATTAATTTTAAAGCAAAATAGGAATAATATAATGGATGATCCTTTCATAAGAGAACATATTGAAGATTTACTACGTAATATACGCACACAGGTATATACATTATATGGGTGTAACTTATCGTACACATATTCTATTATCCTTGGAAGTATGATTCAACGCCTACTTATGTCATTTTATAGGTTTTGATAAAACTAATTAAGCCCTACACTAGAATCTATATTCCTTTCATAAGCAAAGAATTAAACATTGATGTCTCAGAAGTTGAAAGTCTTTTAGTATCTTGTATTTTGGATAGCACTATTCGTGGTCGAATCGATCAGGTAACACAATAGAATTGGTCATCTGCGATTACTGTATGTTCTCGAATTGTACCTCAGATATATGTATATATTTCAGGTGAACCAGGTACTTGAGTTGGATAAGAAATCTGTATGCGCAGCACGTTATAATGCTCTTGATAAGTGGACGAGTCAATTGCACTCTTTACACTTAGCAATAGTAAACAAAATGTCGTAAAGAGCATATTGCGCGCGAATCCAAAATTATATTTTATATTGCACGATATGATACAGGGTCATTTCTTTAAGTCGTAATCCACTTATGGATGAGATTTGTGAATAAATCAATCATCCTATTCGTTTACGAATCTTCTTGCACAAACGGGTTACGACTTGAACGATTTTAACAGAACTACCCTGCGTATTATGATTGTCGGTCTCTAAAAATAAAACCTGTTGTGATATATAATAAAGTTAGAATTTTAATAAAAATTGCTCACTGTATATCCTCTCTTCTATTCATTTTATTTACAATTATTCAGTGATTTATAAAAAGTGAAGTTCATTGTCCATTGATAATGTGACTCAAAATGTACATTATTTAATTTTATAGTAAATCCAATATTAATTTTCACTACACGTTATTATTTTTTCAATAAGTATAATCTGAATAGAAGAAGTAATACGTTACAATGACATTTTGAAAGAAACTATTTTTTTTATTTGTTTATATATATTTATTATATAAATTCTTTTCTTCGCTTGACAAGAATTAATTTAAGCTGTTTTGTACTACCAAAACTGCAGGTATGTAAAGCACATGCATAATATATATTGTAAACATATTCAATCAAATATGTATGTACCAAATGATACATATTCACAAAGATAAATAACAGTATTTATATAATTATTATTACAGTGCTCTATACATAAAAGTATACAAATTGATCGATAGAAAAATTTATTTTAAACATATATATGAGCCGTTTATTATGATAGGGGTAACTCAATTTCTCCCATTAGCGCGTACAAATATTGTTTAAGTGTTAGAAGCTTGACGTTAAGATGTTATAGAGTTTTAGTCATAATTATAAAATTAACGACACGATATGCAATTAAACCTGCAAATCATTTAATTCAATTAAACAAACTATGCGTAATCATCTGTAATGAAGGAAATTTGCCATTTGACTAATTAGATAATAATTCATGGCAAATGAAATTTTCTGACTTTTGTAGTTTTTCCTTGTTCTTGAATCATTCCCATGACTTTTAGGCGTTTTGAAATTGCTTGTTGAGTCACTCCTAATGATCCTATCAATTCTTCTTGCGTTAGACACGAGTATTGATCAAGTAATACCTCCAATTCTGCATCTTCGAAAACCTTTTCTCTTCCACCGCCATGCCGGGTCTTCGACGTTGAAATTATCGTTCTTGAAACGTTGAAACCACTTACCCCTACAACCATATATTGGAAAACGGCGGAAGTAAAGTTGTACGCCTAATAGATACCTGAGAGCCTGAAGTATTATAAAACTGAAATTTCTTGGAAAGTGGATTTACACCGCTTACATAATAAACGGCTCGTATAGGTAATACAATTATTAGTACATTGATTCATAATTTAGGAAAGAAAATAAG